CCTCTTCACATACCAGAAAATATTCTGAGGAAACTACTCCAAGCTTGTACTAAAGAGGCACCCTTCTTGAGCCCGGATGGGCACATGTATAAGCAAGTAGATGGGGTCGCCATGGGTTCTCCCCTAGGTGTCCTGTTTGCAAACTTCTACATGGGTACCATCGAGCAAAAAGTCTTAGTCGACATGAACTTGAAACCGGCCATATACTGCAGGTATGTTGACGACATTTTTACACAGGTACCTGATGTCAGACATCTGCAGGAGCTGAAGGAGGCATTTGAGCAGAGTTCCGTGCTGCGTTTCACTTACGAGATGGAAAAGGATGGGAAGCTGCCCTTTCTAGATGTAACAGTCATGGAAAAGAGCGGAGGTTTCCAAACTGCAGTCTACACTAAGGAAACGAACATAGGAATGTGCCTAAATGCCAACAGCGACTGCCCAGACAGGTACAAGAGGAGTGTTGTTAACGCATATGTCGACCGTGCTCTCAGCCACAGCTCAGAATGGAAGCAAGTCGACGAAGAACTCTGTAGGGTAAGGCAGGTCCTAGTCAACAACGGCTTCTCCAATGGTTTCGTCGAAGACATCATAAGAAGGAAAGTGAAACGCCATGTAACCTCTGAAGAGACAACTAACACAAAACCTATACCCCCTATTAGACTATTTTACAGAAACTTCTTTTCCACAGCTCATAAAACGGAGGAAAGGGTCCTGAAAGATATTGTTAATAGAAACGTTATCCCTACAGACAAAAATCAGAGGATACAACTGACGATTTACTATAAAACCAGAAAAACGGCCAGCCTACTCATGAGAAACTCTCCAGACACAAAGCAGAACGCTTTAAAAGAGACCAACATCGTCTATGCCTTCAAATGCCCACTTGGGGACTGTAAGCTCCAAAAAACCAGTATATAGGCAAGACAACAACATCTCTTTCTAGGCGTGGTTCAAATAGCCTCGGCTATCACCTCATTTTGTCCGGTCGTGATGGTCAAGTGGATTAAGGCGTCTTTGTACATACCAGTTGCGGTGCTCCTGGGAGTATGGGTTCGAGTCACTTCTGGGGTGTGAGTTTTCAGTTGCATATTGTCCTGGGGACCATTCAGGCTTGTTCGCATTTGTGTTCCTCACGTGTGCCCCAAAGAATGAGGTGATTTGGTAAAATGCTATGCCCAAGATTACTATCCGAGTGCCGGCGGTGGGGTGGTTCAAATAGCCTCGGCTATCACCTCATTTTGTCCGGTCGTGATGGTCAAGTGGATTAAGGCGTCTTGTACATACCAGTTGCGGTGCTTCTGGGAGTATGGGTTCGAGTCACTTCTGGGGTGTGAGTTTTCAGTTGCATATTGTCCTGGGACCATTCAGGCTTGTTCGCATTTGTGTTCCTCACGTGTGCCCCAAAGAATGAGGTGATTTGGTAAAATGCTATGCCCAAGATTACTATCCGAGTGCCGGCGGTGGGGTGGTTCAAATAGCCTCGGCTATCACCTCATTTTGTCCGGTCGTGATGGTCAAGTGGATTAAGGCGTCTTGTACATACCAGTTGCGGTGCTTCCTGGGAGTATGGGTTCGAGTCACTTCTGGGGTGTGAGTTTTCAGTTGCATATTGTCCTGGGGACCATTCAGGCTTGTTCGCATTTGTGTTCCTCACGTGTGCCCCAAAGAATGAGGTGATTTGGTAAAATGCTATGCCCAAGATTACTATCCGAGTGCCGGCGGTGGGGTGGTTCAAATAGCCTCGGCTATCACCTCATTTTGTCCGGTCGTGATGGTCAAGTGGATTAAGGCGTCTTGTACATACCAGTTGCGGTGCTCCTGGGGAGTATGGGTTCGAGTCACTTCTGGGGGTGTGAGTTTTCAGTTACACACACACACACATATATAATATATATATATATATATATATATATATATATATATATATATATATATATATATATATTATATATATATATATATATATATATATATATATATATATTATATATATAATATATATATATAAATATATAACAGTGGAACCTCTATTAATGAGTTTTAATCCGTTCTGGCACCGAGCTCGTTACCTGGAAAACTCGTCTTAAGAAACAAATTTCCCCATTTAAAATAAAGGAAATAAATTTAATCCGTTCCACTCCCAAAAACATCCATACTTGTATGACTTTTTTTTTATGTAAATATAATACTGCACATGTAAATATAAATATTTTGTTGTAGTGTTTTAATATTTACTTTACCTTATGAAGAGTAGTTGCTGACTGGAGGGGAGGTGGGAAGGAGGAGAGGGGTTATGGTCTGGAAGGAGAATCCACCTCTGAGTCAGGCGGACTCTCTCTTCTTGGGAATTTCAACCAAATTTCATTTCAAATGTCACACAAGGATGCGTTTGACCAACACCAAATAAAAACCTACATTGATTACACTCGTTGTGTCAAAAATATAATAGTCTTACCACGAAGCTACAATACAATGCCGTTTTCTCAAATAGGCAATGTGGTTATTAAAGAAAACAGAAATTTCATGGCAAACATGTATACAATCCCCAAGACGATGGGATAAGAATTGGATTTTATAGGAATATTTGCTCAAATGACGCTTGAGCGCGGTGTTTGGGTGCATTTAAGAGAAAAAAGTGTGTCACGTTCAAGCGACATATACCTGCGAAAGTGATAACACTTTCATAAAGTGTTATCACAAAGTGATAAATTAATTAACCATTTTCACACACCGGGTTGTCACTGCTTTATCAGGGCAGCTTTTCCAAGAATGCGTTCACCTTTTCAAACATTCCAAACACTTCCCTGATCTCAGTGGAAGAGGCAGCATCCTCCCTTACCTCCTCATTCCCTTACTAATGGTGTAAATTGTTGATGAGACCTGCCATACTCCCTTGTGAGATCATTCACACAGACACCACACTCATGCTTTGCTATAATTTTCTTCTTCAAATCCACAGTAATTGTGTCTTTCTTCCTCTTGGACAACACTATCTTAGCAAGCAGCTTCTTTGGAGACATCATGTGTTACAAATTGCAGTCTATATATATATATATATATATATATATATATATATATATATATATATATATATATATATATGTATGTCGTACCTAGTAGCCAGAACGCACTTCTCAGCCTACTATTCAAGGCCCGATTTGCCTAATAAGCCAAGTTTTCCTGAATTAATATATTTTCTCTAATTTTTTTCTTATGAAATGATAAAGCTACCCATTTCATTATGTATGAGGTCAATTTTTTTTTATTGGAGTTAAAATTAACGTAGATATATGACCGAACCTAACCAACCTTACCTAACCTAACCTATCCTATCTTTATAGGTTAGGTTAGGTTAGGTAGCAGAAAAAGTTAGGTTAGGTTAGGGAGTCGAAAAAACATTATTTCATGAAAACTTGGCTTATTAGGCAAATCGGGCCTTGCATAGTAGGCCGGGAAGTGCGTTCTGGCTACTAGGTACGACATATATATATATATATATATATATATATATATATATATATATATATATATATATATATATATATATATATGGGGTGAGGTGGTATTAATAGGGTATTAAATTCCTAAACACAAGACAGAACACGAAACAATGGGTATTGAATGGAAGTGATTGTAGAAAGCCTATTGGTCCATATATCTTGATGCTTCTATATTGGAGCGGAGTCTTGAGGTGGGTAGAATATAGTTGTGCATTAATTGGCTGTTGATTGCTGGTGTTGACTTCTTGATGTGTAGTGCCTCGCAGACGTCAAGCCGCCTGCTATCGCTGTATCTATCAATGATTTCTGTGTTGTTTACTAGGATTTCTCTGGTGATGGTTTGATTGTGGGAAGAGATTATATGTTCCTTAATGGAGCCCTGTTGCTTATGCAACAGGGCTCTTATGCCTTGTGGGCAACTTAGTGGGCAACTTATGCATTTCCCAGTGAATACTTACGCATAACCGAATAACACGTTTTTTATGATTATTCTTGTATATTTTTGTGATTCTTCTTCTACAGCAGATATTGTTAGGTGCTCAAAAATAAATAGGTATGGACGAACAGTGACAGTGTGTTCATTGAGCTACGTCAGTTCCTCTTTTTGCGTCAGGCGTTATTAGAATCTAAATGCCCACATGGCTATTGATTCTTTTATCATTTTCCCCATCATGTGATGATTGCAAATAAATACTGGGTATTGGTCATCTTCAACATATATTTGAGTGCCCAATTTATTTGGTTCCCTACCATTTTTGTGTTGGCTTTAATTAAATCAAGGACGCCGGTGCAAAGGAAGCCGTTTCGGCTAGTTAGCCATCTCAATAATGGATACCTTATCTCTATCGAGTCATTTGTCCAGAATTCTGAAATAATAGGAAATCTTATTTTTATAATGTCCACTGAAGACACTTATTCCTTGATAAAAATTTTGAAGTATCTGATACCTAGCATCACTCGCCTTGTGTAATTTTTGGTCTTATAATGACTTCATGGAAAATATCCGAATTATTTATTATTCTGTTCCATGGACGGTTATAAATAGCTTTTCAGGCATAGTGTCTACATTTTTCATAAAGGTTTAATTCTGTTAAGTATCTTGCTGTGTATCGCTCTAATTGTTATCTTTCATATCACGTGTTCCTACACATTAATGATTCAAACCTATTATATAGTATTAAACATCAAAAGTATATCCTTTACGTTGCATAAACAAACTTTGTCCAGAGGCTTGTTTCTAGGATATGAGGAATAGGGAATATCACATAAAACTTGATCTCCAACACTCTAAATTAAGGAACAAAATTAATATATTTTAAACAGGCGGAATCAGGTTTATTCATTACAGCAAATGATAAAGAGAGATTCAGAGGAAGACCGTCGTCAGTGTTAGGATAATAAAGAAGTGGAATTATTGAGAAGTGTAACCTCACAATAACTAGTAAATTGTATTTAGTAAATTACCATTCACTCTTAACAGAGGAGCAGAAAAAAACTCACGTAAAATTTGTTGCGTCAGCTATGACATCGATCAATTTCGCCAAGGGACTGAAGAACTTGAGTTTCTTTCCTCCTGGCACCTTGGGGTCGTCGACCATCACTGCTTCATGAGAGGGATAAGAATGTGTCATCACCAATAAGTTTGGCCCAGTGGCAAGCCTGAAAGAGATTAAAGTCATTAAGTGAAAATATTACCATGGGGGAATCCTCTGACTCAGCAACATATATTAGCAAAGAAGAAAGATAAATAACATATTCTTATACAACCCGTTCTCGCACTTGCTTTTAGTCAATATTGGCTTATTTATTAAGTGCATATGTGACATACTAGTCGATTGTGAATATTTTGGTTTACCTTGAAAAGCTTCATAGAAAACACCGACCTCACCTAACCTTCTTAGAATGTTAAGATAAGCATCTTATTGCTTCTTATTTACAATTATTACTAAACCTATCAACGGTATAGGTTAAGTAATAATTGTAATTAAGAAGCAAAAAATAAGATGCTTGATAATAATAAGATGCAATAATAATAAGATGCACTTATTAAATAAGCCAATATTGACTAAAAGCAAGTGCGAGAACGGGTTGTATAAGTATATGTTATTTATCTTTCTTCTTTGCTAATATATGTTGCTGAATCAATTAGTATGTCATATATGCACATATTAAATAAGCCAATATTGACTATAAGCAAGTGCGAAAACGTGTTGACATATAATGTTATTCCATCATGTTATGTACCGTATTAGAGTGAATTCATAAAATAATTCCAGTAATGTACTGTATCAAAGTGAATTCATAAAAATGTAAGCATAGTAATAAAGCAACTATTAAGAACTCTCACAAAAAATAAATTTGGAGATTTTATATATATTTTCTTCGCGAAATAATAAACTAGAAGTTGATGTAGCCAATTTTTTATGCAAGCGTAACCTCAGGTAACTGTAATGGCATAAAAAAAATCTGTAGTGAAGTTAGAGCTCCCGTGGTCCGGCCTGCAGGAGCAAGCAGACAGTTCAGGCAGCTCGAGGCATAGCTCACCGATGCTTAATGTTACCATTATATTTGTATTACTGGATATGACAATGGTCCAGGACGCACCGAAACGTCGTCACGTCTATTGATTCAAATGTGTAGGTTCGTTGTTTAGGATTGTTTTAATATTTAACATTAAACCAGTGATGTTTCTTTCAGAGTTCAGAATAAGTGCTCTAAAGAATATATGCAAAACAACTGGTATTTGCAATATTGTACATGTTTGGCATTGTAAATATACAAAAAAGGAACAATTGTTTTCAAATTCTTCACTCAATATCCCTAAATATATGTGTTGCTTATGACAGACATGATTTACCTATATAGAGATAAAAATTAAAACAAAGCAAATTTTTTCTCGTAAAATTTGCAAACTATCCTGAAATTTATGTGGATATTGTGACGGTGTCCCCCCCCCCCCTTATATTTCTCCCACGCCAGCTGTATGAGTAATATCTATTATACCCGAACGTTCTCTGCCTTCCAGGGAACAATTTGACATATGTGGGAGCATGAGGTGTTCTCACGTTGACGAGAAATTAACTAAAGAAGAGTGTTTTGGCCAGTGGCTTAGGCCCTTTTGGACGCCAAGATGGCGCCAGCCCCTACATTTTCCCGCCAAGACGTTATGACGTCAGTGGCACCAGATTGATCAAGAACGGTGACGTAGTACAGGGAGCCAATGAGAAACGCCCCTGACAAGTATGAAGTCACGAGTGGAAGGGGGGCCAGGCGGCGTGCCCCGTGGCGCCAAGGAGTTTGATACGACACGTCGTCAAGGGCGGACGTGCATATAAGGGGTCCTGTCAGTCTGACAGTTTTCGCCCCTCTCCAGTGAATATACGCATCACCAGTGATCTGCGAGCATCCTGTGAGGTCTTCCTTAACTCCGTGAAGCGAACAGAAGAAGGAATTGACGGGAAACGAGCAACAAGTGCTCCAGTGACAGGTGCTTAGCCAGAGTGGAGTCTGGGCAGTGACGTCAGGGACGACTGTACAGTTTCACCAGTCGGGTGATGACGTAGCGGCTGGGCCAGTTCACCGTGAGGAAGGAGAAGAACAAACAAGCTGGGAATTACGAACGACTGCAGCCATGAGTAAGGACTGCAGACGTAGTTGTAAGGAGAAGGCGACGGCCAGGAGACCGACTCCAACCCTTCAAGAGGTTGTGGAGGAGCACGGAACCTGCAGAGGGAAGCAGCACGGAGAAGACGCGTTTTTGGGAGTTGTTTAAAGTCCTGGGAAGAGCATCAGTGTGTGTGGGGGTGTTCCCTTCAGCAAGTCGTGAGCTGGGACCAGGAACTTCAATTCAACCCTCAACAGAGGACGAGTCCACATCATTGATGGTGGAAGTAGGTAATTCAGTTTTCCCTCCCATTCCCCTTTAGTTAGCTATTAACCAGAGTATCTTCTATGTCGTGAGCAGGGCTCACCAATGTCTGTTTCTAATAAGACAGTTGTTAAAGGAGAGGCTATAGAACTCTCACGAGATATATATGGTGTGTGATTGCACCTGTGATTTGATGAAGAGATTACCGTGATAAAGACATTTATATTATAAGTTTGTGCCAGAGAATACATATATATATAAATGAACAATTTAACAGTGTAAGACTGCGTGCCTGGAGTGTCATTTATATCATAAGTTTGAGCCAGAGGATGTATATATAAATGTACAATTTAGTAGTGTAAGGTTGTGTGCCTGAAGTGTCATTTATATTATAAGTTTTTGCCAGAGTATATATATACATATATAAATGTACAATTTAAAAGTGTAAGGCAATGTGCCTGGTGTTACGTTATTATTATAAATGTTGATGAAGCTGCTCATTTGTTCCTTTGCCATATTGTTGATCCAGAGCTGTGATTCTTTAATCTTTTAAGTAAACTACAAAACCACTGCCGTGTTTGTATCAACCCTCCATTACCTTGTTGCTTCTGAGAGTGAATGATTTAATCATATACTTACCTGCTACCAACTTAATCAGTGTTCTATGGGGCCACTACTACTACTACATTATTACTATTTCCACTGAGGTGTTACTGGACACGGGAAACACCAGTTGGCGACCATTAGTGAGCGGTAGAGCCCTCGGTCGGGGCGGGCACATGATCAAGTAAAGTGATCGTGTTCTCACTCGTCTTAGGCTACGAGGCCGGCCCGAGATAGACTGGGAGACTCTCCTTGGTGAACAATGGCACCGTAAGGATTGAGGGGAAGACCCGTGGGACTACAGTAAGTAAAGCTTTTCACTACTAATACTTGGTGGTGACTGGCTAGAGAGGGAGACACCCCGACAATGTATAAGGAGAATGCACGTTAGTGCAAATTTAGAAAACAAATCTTTCATTGGTTTACATATGATTAGTCATACATATGTGTTTTAGTGTTCCAAATCACTAACAATACCATAGAGCTCTAGCAGTTACCATGTAATAAAAAACTGAGGTACTCCAATGTTCTTATGAAATAGGAACGAATTTTCCTGGTACTGAGGTCTAATTATGTACATCAGGCATATTGCTCTCAGTGCTTCAGCCTTCAGAACATCTTCAAAGGTCCAGGGTCATTGAGCAGTCAGCAATCATACACTGCCGTGGCACTCTGAACATGGTCATCAAGATCTTCTGAAACTGCTCATCTTTTTCAGTCTTCTTCAGACACACACACACACACACACACACACACACACACACACACACACACACACACACACACACACACACACACCACACACACACACACACACACACACACACACACATAAACACACACACATTATGAATTGATAGGGTAGACAAAGATAGGCTATTTAACACAAGGGGCGCACACACACTATGGGACACAGGTGGAAACTGAGTGCCCAAATGAGCCACAGAGATATTAGAAAGACCTTTTTTTTAATGTCAGAGTGGTTGACAAATGGAATGCATTAGGAAGTGATATGGCGAAGGCTGACTCCATACACAGTTTCAAGTGTAGATATGATAGAGCCCAATAGGCTCAGGAAACTGTACACCTGTTGATTGACGGTTGAGAGGCGGGACCAAAGAACCAGAGCTCAACCCTTGCAAGCACAATTAGGTGAGTACACACACACACACACAGATACACACACACACACACACTCACACACACACACACACACACACAGGCGAGAGGGAAAAATAAGGAAATCACAGCTCCCAACACAACATCCCCCAGAGGTGAGGGGGGAACCCACAACCAGGTACTCAGTAACACTAGAGGGGAGGGCAACCCCACCACCCTTCTCTGCATAGAAACCCCACCCCATACCCCAAACCCTCCCTGCCCCCACTCAAATGCTTAGCCAAATATCCCTCCCCCACACCCCATTCCCACTCTGCTACCCCTCCCCTCCTCCCGTTATGTCCCCTCTTCCCCCTTTTCCTTCCTGTTCTCTCTCCCCTTTTATCCTATACCCTCCCTGTCACCCCCCCCCCTTCAATTGACCCCCACCGCTCACCCCAGTATCCTCTGAGACCCCTGTGATCCACCTCACAAATCCTTACACCCATGGATCAGCTTCCCCCACCAGCCGAACTCTCATAAAGGAGGCGATTTGAGAAAGGACAGAAGAAAGTGAGCCTCAAGGCAATGTACACTAACATTGATGGAATTACAAATAAAGCAAATGAACTTTGAAAATGGGTATTAGAGGAAAACCCAGACCTAATAGCACTCACAGAAACAAAGCTAACGAAAACCATAACCAATGCAGTGTTCCCACACGACTATTATGTTATGAGGGAAAAGAGAGAAGGAAGAGGTGGTGGTGGTGTAGCTCTGCTGGTAAGAAAAGGCTGGGATTTTGAGGAGATGGTTATTCAGGGCTGTGAAGATTTCAGTGACTACATAACAGGTACTATAACAACTGGAGGGCAAAACATTATAGTCGTAGTCATATATAATCCACCACCAAATGACAGAAGACCCAGACAGGAATATGATAGAAACATCATGGCCACCATTAACATAATAGAGAGAGCAGCTACTGTTGCTAGCCGGAATGGATGTAGACTACTAATCATGAGAGACTTCAACCATGGGAAGATAGATTGGGAGAACAGAGACCCGCGTGGAGGACCAGAAACATGGA